TGATGACGACGACGACGGTGGTGATGATGATGATGATGATGATGATGATGATGATGAGGATGAGGATGAGGATGAGGATGAGGATGAGGATGAGGATGAGGATGAGGATGAGGATGAGGATGAGGATGAGGATGAGGATGAAGGTGATGATGAAGATGCAGATGGTGATGAAGAGGGAGGGGGAGAGGGAGGAGGAGGAGGAGAAGGCTGGCGCCGACGACAGTGAGAACGAGCAGGAGGACGGAGGACGGGCCGGCGCGGAGTGTCGCCCCCCCCGTTGGCGCAGGCCACGCCGCAGGGGGAGCCCCGCCAGCGATCTGCTGACGCATCGCTGCAGGCGGGGGCCTGCCTCCGAGGCTCCGCGCTGGGGAAGCCGCGGTACGTTGAATCCCAGCCGGGGGGGAGCGGCAGGAGGAAGAGGAGGAGGAGGAGACGAGGACGAGGACGAGGACCAATGCAAACCCACAGGGGGAAGAGGAGGAGGAGGAGGAGGAGACGAGGACGAGGACCACTGCAAACTGCAAACCCAAGACGCATCCACGATGCTCCGAATAACACTCCCTCTCCAAGTTCCCTCTTCACGGGTACCGATAAGAATTTATATGTTCGTTGCAGGAAGTGCCCCGTGGGAAGATAGCCGACGGGGAGTCCTCAGTCGTGCGCAGACACCATTCCTGGGGCTCCAACGCCGCGAGTCAGCGTAGCAGCTGCGGCTTGACAATCCCAACTATGGCCCCAAAACTATCCCCGGGACTCCTGAAAGTTTCAAGTCGTGCCAGAAAAGCATTCTTGGGCCTTCCACCCTTCGAATCCTCGAAGCTGTTGAAAAAGTTTAGGAGGACTGTGCTCGGTGCTATGGCGAGAGCAGCTGTTTGAGGATCACCCGTCCTCAACGCTTGAAGCTTTTGCAGATGCTTGCGACGAGTGCGAGGCGAAAGGCGTATTCTGAAAACTTGTAAGACGAATGTGCGCAGCGCTATGGCGAGTGCAGCTGTTGGAGAATCACCCGCCCTCCATCCTTAAAGCTGCTGAGAACTTGTGAAACGAATGCGCGCGGCGCTAGTGCGAGAACCACATGTTGAAATCCGATCTCCCTCCATCCTGAAACTGTTGCAAAGTTCACGCGCCAGGGCCATACAGTTTGAGGAAGTCTCAGGCGAAACGCCCAGCCCGCCCTACCGACGCGTCTGGGGGTGCGACAGCGAGGAGTTATTCATAAGAGAACTTGAATGGAAGAGGACGAGGAGGAGGAGGAGGAGGAGGAGGAGGGAAAGGGGGGCGGGCAGAGGGAGGAGAGAGGGCGAGAGGGAGAGAGGGAGAGAGGGAGAGAAGAAGAGAGGCAGAGAGAGGGAGAGAGGGAGAGGGAGCGACATCCTCAGGACTACAGGCTCCTCTAGAGGAACGCTCAGGAATCCTGCGAAATCCATGTCGGTCGCAAAGGAATCCTCCAGGCTTCCGTTGGGCATATGTTTTCCACTTGAACTCCTCTAGTTTTACATGTGAAAAAAAAAAAAAAAAAAAAAAAAAAAAAAAAAAACCCCCGCATGAACGTACTCCTCGAGCTCCCCGCAACTTGACATCTCTCCACGTGAATTCCGATGGCCCTCTCAGAGGGGTGTCAACAGTCTCCAGCCTGACGCGTGATCAGGAAATGTCGGGGGGCGCATGGCCAGATGATTACCCACCCTAATACTAGGACAGCTATTACTCCCGCTACAATTGTTAGTAGATACGATTACTACTACTACTACTACTACTACTACTACTACTACTACTACTACTACTACTACTACTACTACTACTACTACTACTGCTGCTACTACTACTACTGCTACTACTACTAACTACTACTACTTACTACTAACTACTACTTACTATTATTTCTACTACTACTACTACTACTACTAACTAACTAATACTACTCCTACTACTAATACTACTACTAACACTACTTACTAATACACTACTACTACACTGATTAACTTACTATAATATACTACTACTCCGACTACTACTACTACTACTACTACTACTTACTACTACTACTTACATACTGCTACTACTACTACTACGACCACTACTACTAGTGTCACTAATACTACTTTACTATACTACTACTAACTACTACTAATTACTATACTACGACGACGACGACGACGACGACACGACTTGTTTTGTTTGGGTTTTGTTTTGTTTTACGACGATACATTTACGACTACTAAGACGACTTTACTACTACTACTTCGATTACTACGACTATTACTACTACTAAAACTACTACTACTACTACTACTACTACTACTACTACTACTAGTCGAAGACGACAACTACTACTACTACTACTATTACTATTACTATTACTATTACTACTACTACTACTACTACTACTACTACTACTACTACTACTACTACTACTACGACTACTGGTATTATCGCTATTGCTACCACTACTAGTACTAGCGATACTACTATTACGACTTCTGCAACTATTACTACTACT